CATACCTCATCAACAAGGGTATCTGCATGATCAATGTTTGTATACCTAACCCTGAATTGTACCCCACATCTTTATAATAAAAATAAAAATATTCACTGTTGAAAGTATATAGTACAGGGCTGTTTAGTATATTCATGGAGTTGTGCATCTATATCTACTATCTGATTCCAGGACATTTTCATCACCCCCCAGAAGTCCTGTATCCATGAGTGGCCACTCACCATTCTCCCTTCCCTCAACTCCTGGGAACCACGAGTTTACTTTCTGTCTGTGTGGGGTTTCAATGGGTACCACCCGATTCTCACATCCCACCGCCTCCTGGGCAGTTCCATCTGGATGTGGGTAAGAATCTTACAACTCACCAGAGCACAGCATGTTCAGCATTTTATCTTCTCCTCCCCATTAATTATTCAACCTGGAGATCTCTGTCATCCTTCACTCTCCTCTCACATCTACTCGGTTTGCAAATATTTTCGGCCATTCTATAGCTGCCTTTTCACTGCATTGTTCCCTTTGCTGTGCAGAAGTTTTTCACATGCCAAAGAATTAAATTGGATCCTTTTCTTACATCAGACACAAAAATCACCTCAGAAATACTGGAGAAAGCTTCATGACTTCAGTCTTGGCAATTATTTTGTGGTTCTAATGCCAAAAGCACAGATCACAAAAGCAAAAATAGACAAATGGAATTACAGCAAACTAAAACAGAGCACAGGAGACAATCAGTAGAGTGAAAAAGAAACTCAAGGGATAGGAGAAAATATCCACAAATCATATTTTAATAAGGGGTTAATTCCCAAAATACATAAGGAAATTGTACCACTTAATAGTAGCATAAGACCCAGAAACGCAATGGGAAGAAAAGGCTTACGGACTTAAAGAGACATTTCTCCAAGGAAGACAGTAAATGGCCAACAGGTATACGAGGGCTGATGATTAAGTTCATGAACTTGCCACCGTGCGCTTATGTGGGCAGCTCTGTATAAACAACTTGGTAAGATTTCATAACCTGGGTACATCAGTGTCTCACAACTGTGTTCCTGTCAACTTGCTGAGTGGCGGTCATTATTGTTGTGTGTTTTTGTTCCGTTGCAAGAATGTCAGAGCTTGAATTAGAGCAACGAACAAACATGAAATTTCTTGTTAAACTCGACAAGAGTGGAAGTGAAATCAGGGACATGTTAGTCCAAGTTTATGGGGATAACGCCATGAAGAAAATGGCAGTGTGCAAATGGAGGAAACATTTTTCTGAGGGGAGACAAAGTGTTACTGATGAAGAGAGGTCAGGATAGCCAATAGGTAGAACTGATGAAAACATTGCAAAGATTCATCAAATTGTGTATCAAAATTGTCAGTGGACTGTGAGAAGCATAGCAGACCAAATAAACATCGATAGAGAAACAGTTAGGAAAACCTTTCTTTTCTTCTAATTATTGTTTTCATTTTAAAGATGTGGGATACAATTCAGGGTTAGGTACATAAGTGGCCATCGTGCAGGTAAAGTTTGGGGCCCTTATTGATGTTATGTGTCTCCCCCTCCTCGTTAGGAAAATCTTCACTGAAAATCTTGGCATGAGAAAGGTGTGTGCAAAAATGGTCCTGAAGGAGCACTTGTATCATGATGATGTACCAGCTCACACAGCATTGTCTGTGAGGGAGTTTTTAGCCAGTAAACAAATAATTGTATTGGAACACACTCCCTACCCATCTGATCTGGCCCCCAGTGACTTTTTTTCTTTACCCAAAGATAGAGAAAATATTGAAAGGAAGACATTTTGATGACATTCAGGACACGGGTAAGATGATGACAGCTCTAATGGCCATTCCATAAAAAGAATTCCAAAATTGCTTTGATGGGTGAACTAGGTACTGCTGTCAGTGCATAGCTTCCCAAGGGGAGTACTTCAAAGAAAAGAGGTATGTAGCACTTTCCCTAAGATGAGCTCCCGGACTTAACTGTCAGAACTCTTTTTTGTTTGGAGTTGGAATCTTACTCTGTCACCCAGACTGGAGGGCAGTGGCACACTCCCGGCCACCACAGTCTCAACCTGCTGGACTCCGCCTGCTGGACTCCGGCGATCCTCGCGCCTGAGCCGGAACTACAGGCATGTGCTACCACACCCAACTAATTTTTGACTTATTGTAGAGATGAGGTCTCACCAAGTTGCCCAGGCAGGTCTCGAACCCGCAGGCTCAGGCAATCCACTCACCTTGGCGTTCCAAAGTGCTGGGATTACAGGCTGAGCCACCGAACCTGACCAATTGTCAGACCTCTTAATGAAAAGATGTTCAGTGTTACTCATTATAGAAGAAATGCAAGTCAAAAACCACAGTGAGCTATTTCTTCACACTTGTTAGGATGGCTGTGAAAAATAAACAAAAAGAGAGAGCCAGTGAGTGTTGGCAAGGATGTGGAGAAATCGAAACCCTGGTGGGGTGCAAGGGTTGACACAGATGCCAAAAGCTGGAGCTGCTGAGAGCAGTACAGAGGTTTCTCAAAAAATTAAAAAGCGAGCTATCATTGTAGTCCAGCTATCCCACTCCAGAGTATTTGTCCAAAAGAATTGAAATTAGCATCTTGTTGAGATTTCTGCATGCAGAAATTCACCGTAGCACCATCTATCTATCTATCTATCTATCTATCTATCTATCTATCTATCTATCTATCTATCTAGAGTAGGAGTCTCACTCTGTCACCCAGGCTGGAGTGCAGTGGCACACTCACGGCCATCCCAGCACTGACCTTGCTGGGCTCCAGCGATCCTTCCACCTCAGCCTTCCAAGTAGCTGGAACTATAGGTGCGCGCTACCATGCCCTGCTAATTTTTTGGGGGGGAGGATTTATTGTAGAAATGAGGTCTTGCCAAGTTGCCTGGGTAGGTCTCGAACCCTCGGGCTCAGGCAATCCACTCACCTCGGCCTCCCAAAGTGCTGAGATGACAGGTTGAGCCACTGAGCCCAGCCTTTAGCACTATTTATAATAGCCTAAGTGAGGATGCAAACTAAATGTCCACCAACAAAGGAATGGGTAGAGAAAATACACCATCTACGTGCATTCAGCCTTACAAAAGAAGGATATTTCATACTATGCTCCAACATGAATAAACCTGCAGGACATTATGTTAAGTAGAACACTCCAGACATGGAAAGACAAATGCTCATAACTCCACTTCTATGAGATACCTCAAATAGTCAGACTCAGGGAAGCAAAGAATAGAATGGTAGTTGCCAGAGGCTGGGAGGAGGGGAATGGGGATTTGTTAACCCACAGCGACAGTTTAAGTTGTGCAGGATGAATACATTCTAGAGACCTACCAGACTGGTAATTTAAAAATGTGAACTTGCCAACGTGGTGGCTCACACCTGAAATCCCAGCACTTTGGGAGGCGGAGCCTAGAGGACTGCCTGAGCCCAGGGCTTTGAGACCCATCTGGGCAACTTGGAAAGACCTCATCTCTACAGTAAATAAAAAAATTAGCCAGGTGTGGTGCTGCACACTTATAGTCCCAGCTACTCGGGAGGTGGAGGTAGAAGGATTGCCTGAGCCCAGCAGGTTGAGGCTGCAGTAGCCATTAGTGTGCCACTGCACTCCAGCCTGGGTGACAGAGTGAGACTCCTATTTAAAAAAAACCCTAAAAAGTGACCTAGATCCTGTCTTGCTCTTGCTTAAAACCCATGGTTTCCTTATATTCTCCTTATATATGGAAAAAAAAAAAAATCCAAGTGCTTGGGTGACTCCTCCCCCTCCCTCCACGGTCCTCCTTCTTCCGTGCCAGGCTACAGACATTCTTTGCTTTGTTTTTTAAACACCAAACATTTTCTTGGCCCGTTCTCATATTTCAGGTCTCAGCTTACATGTCACCTCCACTGAGAGGCCTTGTGAGTGACCACTCTCCCCCATCCCCGCCCCCGACTGTTTCTTCATACCCCTAGTCACACTTTGTGCTGATCTGCACTTGTTTGTTTCTCTGCTTGCTTTTCAGCCGCCCTGTCCTGAGAACAAAGGCCCTGGTGGAGCCGTGGCCAGGTTGGTCTTGTTCCCAGTCACAACCTGACAAGCAGCTCGTGGGTATTTTTGGACTGCATGATTGCATGAGTCCTTTCCCGAGGTCCGAGGTCAGCATCGTTCACTCTACAGCTTCTGGCGGACCTTCCCTCCAGGCTCTGCAACGGGGTCCCCTTCCTCCAGGCCTCTTCGGGAAGTGAGAATGAATGAGGTGGGGTTGCTCTGGCCCACCAGTGTCTGGCCCCGGGCCTCCCTCCACCCCCACATCCTAGGCTCAAATCTGGCCCTGGGCTGGGCGCGCATCCCTCCCTTGCCCGGCACGCAAGTCATGGGCTCTGTCCCTTTGCTAGTCGGGATCATTTTTCCAGCCATCTCCTTTTTTCCAGGAGCTTCTCACACTTGCAGTCAGGCTGGGGCCCAGTGTCCAGAAGGAAGGGCAAGGACTCACCAGCGCTGCCGGCCTTGCCACTCAGCCTCCTGCAGCTCCCTCCACAGCTGGTCTTGCTTCACGCCCTCCTTGGCTTCCCGGGCCACCTGCTGAGTCTTTGGAGCCTGACTGCCAAGACTCCTGACTGCCCCAGGACCACCCCGGGCCGGTGGCCTGGCAGGGGGCAGTCGGTATCCAGCTGATGTGGTTCTCTGGAGCCCAGGGGTGAGGGGGCTCTCCATGGGTGCAAGTGTGTATGTGAGAGTGAATTTGTGGGGGGGGGGGGAGAGAGAGAGAAAGGGAGGGAGGAAGAGAGCGAGAGACAGGAAGAGAGAGGGAGAGAGAGAGAAGAGAAGGGGGGGAGAGAGAGAGAGAGAGAGGGAGAGAGAGAGGGAAAGAGAGAGAAGAAGAGAAGGGGGGGAGAGAGAGAGAGAGAGAGGGAGAGAGAGAGGGAGAGAGAGAGAAGAGAAGGAGGGAGGGGGGAGAGAGAGAGAGGGAGAGAGAGAGAGAGAGAGAGAGAGAGAGAGAGAGAGAGAGAGAGAGAGAGAGGAGAAAGCCACGCTCTTGAGCTCAGACCTCTCCCGGGACAGCCTAGGCAAAGGTCCTCCTCACTTTCCCCTGGGCCTCAAGCTCTGAGTGACCGATGGGGACAGGGCCGTCCTGGCTGGGGAGAGCACTGGGGTCCAGCTGGGTGTTGAACTCTCGCCTGTGTTGACAGTTGTCCTGGGAACGGCCTCTCCAAAGAGTGCCCAGGAAGGGAGGAAGGGGCGGGTCCGTGTGTGCGTGTGTGTGTGTATGTGTGTGTGTGTGTGTGTGTGTGTGTGTGTGTGTGTGTGTGTGTGAGAGAGAGAGAGAGAGAGAGAGAGAGAGATCTGAGCCCTAGGGATGGGTTGTGGAGAGTTCCCGAGTTGATGCCACACTCAACTCCGTGTGTGGGGGAGAGGGAGAGGGGCAAAGTCCAGACTCCCGGGGATCCCAGACAGGCCAGCCTGTGCCTCAGCCCGCGGACTTGATCTTCTCACTTGGCCTGGAGCAGCCTCTGCCCATTTAGGGCTGTGAAGGGCCATAACAGCCCTGTGCTGCCCCCTCGTGGATGCTGCGAGGCTCGCACGGGTAAGGGGACATGTGGGTGCTTTGGGAATTGTAGATCACCCGGGAGTGTGATGCTTCCTGCTTTTCTGTTGGAATGATGGAAGAAGAGGCTATGAGTATATGTCAGGCCAGGGAAAAATCGGTGAATATGCATTATTAATATCTGGTCCATCAGTAAACCCTTTAAGTTCACAGAGCACTATGCTGTATCTTTTTTTAAAATTTTTTATTTTTGAGTCAAGATTTCACTCTGTCTCCCAGGTTGGAGTACAGTGGCACAATTACAGCTCACTGCAGCCTCGACCTTCTGGGCTCAGGCAATCCTTCCACTTCAGCCTCCCAGGTAGCCTGGCTACAGGCACACACCACCACACCTGTTGGTTTTTGTGTGTGTATGTGTCTTGCTATGTTGCCTAGGCTGGTCTCAAACTCCCAGGCTCAAGTAATCCTCCTACCTCGGCCTGGGAGGCACCCAGTCACTATGCTATACCTAGCTGAGCCTGCCTGGCCACCCAAAGCAGGCCTTTCCAACCGCCTTCTACAGATGAGCACACTGAGGCCTTCACAGGCAAGATTAGGTGACCGTCTGAGGTCACACATTTACTACCTTGAGAGCCTGGCCTTGAGCTGCTCGCTAAAGCTCACCGAGGAAACAGTGAGGCTCCAAGGGCAGGAGTCATGATCTGAACCCTCAGCCCTGTTTCGGTTTGACCAGGTGCAGCCGGGTTCTCCTTGTGATCTGGCTCAGCTGGCCCCCTCAGACTCCCCACAGCTCTCACGGCTTCTGCCCCAGGTGCTCTCTGCTTCCGGTTCTGGGCTTTGTCCCTACAGTGTCGGCAGACTCACAGTGCCTGCCACCAAGCTGTTCTGTGGGCTGATTCGGCTGGGCATGGTGATCCCTCTCTTTGTGCAGCTGGAAAAAGAGACGCATGAACAACTGAGCTCAGACAAAGCCAGTCTGGACGGAGGCATACATGGGGGTGCTCAGGGGTATGGGCACCAGTTCAGCCTACAAGCCACAGGACTTGCCTTGTGGCCAGCCCTGAACGCCTCCTCTTCGGGACTATGCTTCCATAAGAGAGGGATAAGGAGTTGGGAGGTCACAGGTAAAGGGATTTACTAGGTGGAAAAACTGGGGAGACTATAAGAGCTTGGATGTGAGAGAGAGCCACACTGGGAGAAGTGGGGGGAGGAGGAAAGGACTGGGGCTGGAGGTCACACGGGGACGAGGCTCCAGGGGTGTTTTGGACTGTATCCTGCACACAGCAGGTGATACTGGTGGGCTTAAGGCCCCAAGGAGCCGCAGGGCACAGAACCACCAGGAAGGAGGCGAGAAACCAGTGAAGTCACCATTGCCATGGCCCAGAAGAGAGGTGGCGATGAAGCTCACACTGAACTTGGGCAGAGGGCTGTCAAGGAGGTGGCAGGGCTGAGGGCCACTCTCTTTGTCTTTTGGCACTTGCGTCAGGAAGGGGTCGAGTGACGTGACCTTCTGGGACAACATTAGTCCAAGATCAGAGCTCCAGGTCTGGGACTCTCTGTCTTTCCTCTGTTCCTCCTTCTGGAACTCGGATGAGACAGGCTGGCATCTAGTGGCATTCTGGTAAAGATGAATGTTGTGGCTGGGCTCGGTGGCTCAGTCTGGAATCCCAGCACTTTGGGAGGCTGAGGTGAGTAGACTGCTTGAGTCCTGGGCAACTTGGCGAGACTTTATCTCTACAATAAGTCAAAAAATTAGCTGGGCATGGTAGTGCACACCTGCAGTTCTGGCTACTTGGACGGCTAGGCGGAAGGATCCTGGAGCCCAGTAGGTCGATGCTGAGGTGGCCATGAGTGTGCCATTGCACTCCAGCCTGGGCGAAAGAGTGAGACTCCAACTCAAAAAAAAAAAAAGATAAATGCTTCTGGGAAAGCAGCAGGAATGGGTTGCTGTGTGCTGGGGCCCCAGAGCAGGCTTTTCTGGGTGTTACTCTCTCTGGGGTATCTGTACCCCAGCATGGCAAGGTCAGGTCCCTGCCACGTTCCCCAAGGAGCAGCAGCTGACTTCCTTGATCCCCCAGAAAAGGTCCCATGAGTGTGTTTAGAGAGGCAGTGCCTGCTGCTCCAGAAAAAGGCTGTGTCCTAGGACAGTAGTCCCCAACCCTTTTGGCATCAGGGACCGGTTTCATGAAAGACAATTTTTCCATGGTTGGGTAGGGGGGGCAGGTATGCAACTGTCAAACATCACTGCTAATCACCACCTCAGCTGACCAGGCATTAGGTTCTCAAAAGGAACGTGCAACCTAGATTGCTCACACGCACAGTTCACAATAGAGTTCATGCTCCTATGAGAATCTAATGTCCCTGTTGATCTGACAGAAGACAGAGCTCAGGTAGTAATGTGAGTGGCGGAGAGCAGCTGTAAATACAGATGAAGTTTCACCCACTTGCCTGCCGCTCACTTCTTGTTGTGCTGCCTGGTTCCTAACAGGCCACAGACCAATACTGGTCCGCAGCCTGGGGGTCAGTGACCTTTGTCCTAGGAGGTCCTTGCTGTGTGTCTTGGGAGGCCTTGTCAGGCCAACTGCAGGCTGTGGCACTGAGCAGCCTTGCAAGATATTTCCACCCAGGTCCCCTAGTCACAGGCTCCAGGCACAGGGAACAGGACACAAAAAGGCTAGCAAAGGTATCTGTATGAACCCTCCTGACTGACCAAGTTCCAGATGTATGTAGAGGCTGAATATTTTCATGGAGGCTGGTTTGCAGAGGTTAGCCAGGTGGCTCATGCCAGTAATTCCAGCACTTAGGGAGGCCGAGGTGGGAGGATTGCTTGAGGCCAGGAGTTTGAGACCAGCCTGGACAATGTAGCGAAACCTTGTCTCTACAAAAAAATTAAAAATTAGCCAGGCAAGATAGTGCATGCCAGTAGTTCCATCTACTCAGGAGGCTGAGGCAGAGGGATCTCCTGAGCCCAGGAGGTTGAGGTCATGGTGCGCCGTGATTGTGCCATTGCTTTTCAGACTGGGACACAGAGTGAGACTCCAACTCAAAACAATAAAATAAATAAATAAATAATAAAATTTAACTTAAAAGTTCTTTCATATTGATAACTGATAGAGGGATGGATTGCTATGTGGCCAGCAAATAAAATAAAATATTAATATAGTATCTATCTGATGGGCATATGGTTGTTTGTTCCACCAACTCTTTCAACTCTTCTATGTCTGAAAAATTTTCAAAGTAAAATGTTTTGGGGGAAAAGATTTCACCGGTCAGTTCAGGTCAGTCACTGCTAGTCTCTTTTCTCACGTCATTGTTCCTGGAGAAGTATCCACATTCACTTTGGGCGGGCCTCACTGCGCCCAGCCTGGGAGGAACACCCCCTGCCCCTCACCTTTCCCTCCCAGCCCTAAGGCCGGGCTCATCTGCGCACCAGGACACCGGGTTCCAGTCCTTGCTCTGCCAGTGACCTGCTGTGTGCCCTTGAGCGAGTCACTGCCCCCTCCACATCCCACGATTTGTAATCTGACTTACATGAGACCGTCCAGGAATGGATAAGAGTCCCAGGATCGGTGAAGTTGCTGGAGTTGTCTTTTAAGGGGTTGTCCTCCCTCCCAGCGAAGTGCGGCGAGTTTAGAACCTTCAAGCACTCACGGCAGAACTTTCCAGCCCGGAAGCAGGTGCGCAGCGACGGGCGGGCGGGCCCCACGAAGCCTGGAGCCAGCGGCACCTGTGAGTTACAGAGCGGGGCGAGGCTCCGCCCCACGGGGCGGGTGTAAGCGGGGCTGGCGAGGGCGGCCCCGCCCACTTCCTGTAGACCCCGCCCCTTTTTGATGGGTGAGGTGGGGCGGGGCGAGGTGGGGCGGGGCGGAGGGGCTTTCCACGGCGGGCGTGGGACCGAGGAACCAACCGGAGGGAGAGGAAGATGCGAGTCCGTGGACAGCGCGGGCGCGCGGGGGAAATCTTTGTCTGCAGATCTTAGCTGTCCCTGTTCTCCCCTAAGCCTCTGCTTCCCAGATACGCATTTTGGCTTCACACCCTGACCCTCTTTTCTCTGCATGCACACACCTGGAAGGCATTATACACGTGGTGACAGTCAAAGAGAGGGTTCGGAACCGCCGTTCACACCTTGTCAGCTGCTCCTACCAAGTCCCCAGAAAGCTTTCTAGCA